GATTTGGAGGTTATTTTCCATGGTACGGGCGACGAGACACACCCCTTCCGGATGATTAGACGGACAGTACTGATTTGATATAGCTTGGAATAATGCCGCCGAAATATCGCGATACGCAACCACGGACACCACGACCCTTCCCCCCTAAAGTTGTCGAGACTCTGGAGAAAGAGAATGCATCATAGATACCTACCTACCTTTACCATGAGGCCTGTCGACACGACTAAAGCGAGATGTATCTGTACGGAATTCTAGGCGCACTGGTAGATGCCCCAGTTGTGGGTGTGCGTGTATCTGATGGGGGATTCTCACACCTAAACTTCGAACGACACGATCAACAGAATGTTCGACTGGTCCGAATCCTGACGGCGCGACCAACCATGAAATGAAAGCCGACTATAGCGTCAAACCCCCAGCATATGTATATTAAACTCAGCAGGCAATTCCACGGTTTTGGGGCCGGAATTGTTCGCAGTAATCATGTATCAAAATAACATGACTATATCACCAAAGCCTCGCAGAGTGCTGATGGTTGTGTGATATATAGAATAACAGCACGATTATTTATTCATCCGATCCGTATCATATGTTCGGGATGATTGTCTTCTCTTTTTCCTCATAGTGCCATACACAAACATGACCCTGCCCATAGGGTCGCCTAGAGCTCGATAAAAGCATGGCCGCTCAACGTGATATATACAGGTATACTAAGTCTCTGCAGTTATAATGTCGATTTAAGCAAAGCAGAGAAATCCATTCATATGTTCTACTCAGTAGCACTGGCTTCTTCTTCAAATACGACCAGAACCGTTCCAGCCTTACATTTATCCTGTAAGAATGTCCATTAGCATCGTGATACGGTTTTCAATATGGCAATAACACTTACGCCTTCTTTATGAGCCAAACGCTTTATTACACCGTCTTGCGGTGAGCGAATGACAGTTTCCATCTTCATGGACTCGATTCTGGCTCTTGTTAGCGCGTGCCGCCAATTATTCACGTTTCAGGGGCAACGAGTCTTACACAACGAGAGGGGCACCCTTGACAACCTTGTCTCCCTCCTTTACTTCATTCTTCAGGATTTTGCAGGGCATGGGGGCTGCTACCGAGGCAGTCACTTCTTTCAAGCCAAGGGCTTTTTCATACCATGTCGGTGATACCAGAGCCAGCTCAGTCTTTCCTCCTTCTTGGAAGATTGTGATTTTGTTGTCATTGTTCGGGTCCTGGACGACGGTGGTCTCGAGTCTTGTTGTCGGGTAATAAGTTGTAACCACAGACTTGCCCTGACTTATGACGGCGTTGGAAGCCAAGTTTTCAATGGTTTCTCCATCTTCTCCTTTGCGGATGACGGTAGCTTCGAAGAATTGATGGTCTTTCTGTAGCAAGCTGACCTCTACCACTTCGCCTTCCTTCTCGCTCAACACATCTAGAGACTTAAAGTAGAATTTCCGTTCACTTGCATCCTGACCGAAGCCAATCGATCCGCCATGGAGTTGCTCGGAAGGTGTTTGAACGGTGCCCGCGAGACCTAGTGCTGCTTGAACGTAAACTTCGGACTTGACCCTTATGGGCTCGAATAGCTCGGATCTCCACTTCTCGATGAAGCCCGTCTCGACGTCCCCTTGCATGAAGGCCGGCGATTTGCAAAGGCGTTTCAGAAACTCGATGTTGGTGCTTAGCCCGACGACTTGGTAGTTTCGCAGAGCCAGTTCCATCTTCCGTATCGCCGTTTCCCTGTCAGCCCCTCGGACTATCAACTTTGCGATCATGCCATCGTAGGCTTCTGTGACGGTATCGCCTTCCACAAATCCTGCGTCTATCCGGATATCCTCGTCTGTTTTAGGTGTGGTGAGATGAACAAGCTTTCCAGAGTCGGGGAGGAATCCCTTCTCGGGACTCTCCGCATAGATGCGCGCTTCGATGGCGGCGCCTCGCGCTTGTATTCTCTCCATAATCTGTTGTTGGGTCAGGGGCAGCCTCTCACCAGCAGCCACTCGGAACTGCCACTCGACTAAATCCGTGCCGGTGACCATCTCACTCACGGGATGCTCAACCTGCAGACGGGTGTTCATCTCCATGAAGTAAAAGTCACCGGTATCCTTATCGAGAATGAACTCGACTGTGCCGGCACCGACATATCCCACAGCGAGAGCAGCTGTCCGAGCCTTTTCCCACAGATCGAGCCTCGTTACATCGTCCAGGTTCGGGGCGGGGGACTCCTCCAATATTTTCTGATGTCGTCTCTGAATGCTGCAGTCTCGTTCACCGAGTGCGACGCAATTGCCATGCTTGTCAGCAAAGACTTGGACCTCGACATGTCTCGGCCGCACAATGTACTTTTCCACAAGCATGACCTCGCCGCCCTCGCCGAAAGACGCTCTGGCCTCTGCTCGTGCGCTCTTCAACTGCTGCAGGAATTCGCCCTCCTCCATGACGATACGCATACCCTTGCCACCGCCGCCTTTGACGCTCTTCAGGAGCACCGGGAATTTGATTTTCTTGGCGTGGTTTAACAATTCCGCCTCGCCCTGGTCTGATCCATGATAACCGGGAACACAAGGCACACCGGCCTTGGTCATGATCTCCTTACTCCGCGCCTTGTCGCCCATATCAGCCATAGCCTGAGCCGGTGGTCCGACAAACACGATCCCCTCCTCCTCGCATCTCTTTGCAAAGGCAGAGTTTTCCGATAAGAAGCCATAACCCGGATGCAAGGCCTGGATACCATGCTGCTTCGCTAACCGGACAATGCGCTCGCCGTCTAAGTAGCCATTGGCGGCCCCCAGGCCGATGGAATGTGGTGAGCATGCGGCATGTTGCGAAGAAGCGTCGGGATCTGTATAGAGAGTTGTGGTCTGGATCCCGAGGCGTTTTGCCGTCTTGTTGATTCGCAGCGCAATCTCTCCGCGGTTCGCTATTAGGAGTGAGGTGATGGGCGTAATCTGGGGTTGTGCGGTCACGCTAGTTGTGACATAGCGGGGGAATGCACGTCGGCCAATATATCTAGGTTTAATTGCACGCATGTTGAAAGAGATTATACAGCTTTGCTACAAGACAATTTCTATGCGTGAAACAGTAAATGAGAGCTTTTGGCCTGTCTAGGTACCTTCAAAATATGAGCAAGAGTTAAGTGACGGCAAAGGGGATGAGCTTGTTTAGAGATCAGCTGGTACGTTACTCTCGGCAATACCTAGCTCATGATGCCGCGACTAAGCGACTTTATTAAGGCCGGTTGAAGCCGCAGCCACAAGGGGGATAAGGTAAAAGTAATTACCCACAATCCGCCGCGCAACGAATTGTCTGTCAATCCCGTGGCCCGAGCTCCACATTCCCCAAACTTCAAAGCTCCCAACCCCGCCGAGCGTTGCCAAGCAAGCCCTTTCGTCATATGCCATTCCATTTTCAACCCAATCGACGTAGCCTCACATCCGAATACAGTCGACGATCAATTAATTATTCGAATTGGAACACAGATAATAACCCCTGCTCAATAGAGACATATTGTAGAAGCAATGGATCAGATATCTCTCAACTATGAAGCGTCGGCAGGCGACACACACAAACAAACAGTGAGCGAACTTCCAACGGAAGTTGTTCAATGTCTTGAAAATGCTCGATTCGTAAGTCGCGTCTACCTACTTACCCACGTCAGCTTAGATAGGTACCATACAGAAATTGGTACGTGTACATGTGGCAAGAGACTAATTACAGTTGCACCAGCTTCACCTTGCGACATGCGTCGACAACCAACCTCACGTATCATTAATGAACTACACCTATCTCCCGACATCGCCCTATTCCGCCGGACCCATCATCATCATGACCACGAACCCGTCATCGAAGAAAACAAACAATCTAGTCGTCAATCCGAACGTATCACTTCTCGTACACGACTGTATGACACCCCACCAGCCCCCCAAACCTTTCTTCTTTACTAATATATACTTACTAGGGGTATCCCACCGCCCACCAACCCAAGGCCGTCGACCATCAGGCGGATCCCCGGGTCCCGAACACCGCTCAAGCCTCGCCTCCCTCCTAATAAACCTAAACACGAGCGCAATGTCAAGTATCAGCGCGACAATAAACGGAACCGCCGAATTAGTACCCCACGGATCGGAAGCAGAGAAATATTATCGAGGCCAACATCTGGAGAATAACACGTTTGATAATGCGCCGTTTGACAGACAACCGGTGGTAGAAGATGGTGGTAGGGAATGTTTCGTGGCTGGGGAGGAGGTCCGTGTTATTCTCGTGCATATCAAGGATGTGAGGACGAGTGATTGGAAAGGTGGCGTGCGCGATTGGGTTCTCAGTGAGGGGGGAAATCCCGTCTCGAATGGGGTTAGGTGATGCTCATTGCACCGGGTTGGTAGGTAGGTCTGTAGGTTTTGTAAGGCCGTCGATATTGCTAATTCACAGCTTTTCCCCCCCTACTCGTATGATGAGAATAGACTTGGGAAAGTGATCGTATGTGACGGAGTTGGGCCTCTGACTATGATTTACTCTGATCATTGGAGATGAATACGTCTCTACAGCGGCCTCGGCAATATTAGGGAACCATGGTGCATATTCTGCCTGCTCCTCATTTCACTGCCCACATTGTTTATAGCAAAATAGCTACAGAATTACACTCACTCCCAAAAGGGCCGGGTTTCTGGTCGTGATTATAGGTAGTTCATGTTCGTTCGAGCCCTTCGTTTCCCACAACGTACAAATACACTTATTAAGCCGAGAAATTGACTATATGCAACCAATTTGAACTAGATACTTATGATTTAACAAAGAAATCAGATATCATTCCCAGAGTAATCCTACAAATCTATACCGCAGATACGTGTAACCTAAGTAGAGCCCCTACTTCGCAGCCCTTACCCTCAAGTTCCTCAACCACCCCACCCCCCACTCACCCTTTAGTAAGATAACCTTAGGTTGCTACGAGTATATAACTACCTTTTTCTACCCTACGAGTCATACACACACACACACAAAAACACATAGGCAAGATGGCCGAGTTGGTTATGGCGTGAGGTTAAGGTCTACCTTGACATAAAAAGATAATTTCCTCATGGAGCAATCCGCGTGGGTTCAAGTCCCACTCTTGTCAATTTCAGTATTGTGTGCTGTTATATCTTTTTTTCGTTTCTTTTCGGTTTTGGGAAGTTGGGCGAGTGGTAACTCGATTTTTGAGTGCGTAAAATTGAAAATGAATTGTAGTAACACGTCGCCTACAAGATTGAGATTGTGACAGACACTAGATAAGAGTGGGAATTGACTCGCTAGGCTGGCAAATTAAACGCAAGTCGGTGTTTTTACCCTGGCAGCCAGTGCCCAGTGGTGATTTAATGCCGTCCACCCTCGTAATTATCCGCGCGAGTTTAAAATTGAATTGATCAATTCGCGCGGCTAAGGTAGCTAGATAGATGGGTGGTGGTGTTGGCATATATCTGCCGGTGTGTTTATTGCAATCAGGATATTGGATATATACCTATATAAGGCTATAACTAACTGACTGCCTTGTTGGCCGAGGGAAACAGATTTACCCGTGAATAATACTTGTCTATATTCCTGATACAAGATAATCATCCCCTCTCCCTCCTTTTTTTCCTTTTTACTTGTTGACATGAGTGAACGGAATAACAATGCTGCCACGCTCAATTTTCGGACTTCTCGCTTTCTTTGGATATGCAACCGGGCTGCTCGGACTAAACGTGCCACGATACCGGGAACATGATTCGAAAATCAGCTCTTCTTACGACCATGTAATTATAGGGGGGGGGGGGGGGGGGGGGGACGGCGGGAGAAACAGTAGGGTTACGACGCGCGCCCCACGGAAAAGTGAATTAACAAACCAAACCCAAAACCCTATTAAAGCCAA